GTTGAGTCTGTGTAAAATATATGTACATACAGTAGGAGCAAATGGTTCTATGCACATGCAGATATTGATTTAAACCACCATCAACTAAATCAAACTGCTCAGGACATTTGCTGTTTAGATCCTGGATTGATGAAATATATACAGTAACTCCCCACTTCAATCGGCCCCAGCTTCTAATATAACAAATAGAACAGGGAAACCAATGGATCAAGTGTTATTGGAAAGTTTGTCTATAACTCATCATTTTCATCTGTGCATTTTTATAACAACATATATATTTGATATATTTACATGAACAAAATAAGTACAGCTGCTGAGATGAAAACAAAACTGTATCAAAAGAAATTAAGGCTCAGAAATGTAGACTGCTGGGTCTAATAATAATTTTTTAGAATTATGTTTTGTGCCTTTAGGGTTGAGTTGTTATGATCATATACATGTTCGGGTTGTTTTCTTGATAACATTAGCTTTAACATGATGTACAACGTGGCATATTAGCCCAGACTCTGCCCTGACATTTACCGTATATGTCCACTAGGGGGCCACATAGCTTTTCTCGGGCGCAAACGGGACGTCTGAGACCACTTTTTAGTGCCATTGTTAGGGTTTGAACAAAACACTTAGTTTTAGTGTATATCAGTACATTCACATAAGCCAAACACCTAACTATCAACACATTTTGACATCTAAAATTACAAATAGTTAAAAATGCAAAAACAAGTGACACATACACAAAGTGAGACAAGTGTGGAAGTACAAGTTAACAGTCATGTGGCCAAGCACGGGAGCTATTCAATCTTTAATGACAGCAACCTTTAGACAACACAAAAGATGCATTGGTGAAGTTGAGATTCTACCCTTTTCAAAAAATCTATAATTTTGACAGCTGAAGATGAATAGGGTTTGGACAATGAATAGCTGACCTGGACACTGGGATGACTGATTACAAATAGGATGCTTACATTGGACTGCCACCGTTGGTAATGGAAAGGTTGAGACAAAATGCAACTCAACAAAAAAATAAATAAATTGAGAGAAATAAGTGGTCGCAAATCTCTGCTTACATCACGCAGTCAGCAAAACGTTCAATTATATGGGTACAATACAGTCGGATTAGATTATGTATCTTAGCCATCTTGATGCAATTTGGGTAAAGCCAATGAGAACCCATCTAAGTTCATGAATCTAGTTACTAAATGTGCGTAGTTCATACAGATTCCTGATAGGCCAATGGTTTATGAATAGAATTAAAATAAATCAAGGAGGCCGATAATTGATATATATGAATTACAGTATGTTATGTATTGAATATTTGGTTTTTGATTTCAAATGAAGTGAGTGAGAGGATGCATTGTCTTTGTGGTGATGTAAAAAGAGGCAAAACAGTATTTAGTCGGCCAACATTGAGCAGGTCCTCCCACTTGAAAAGACAAGAGATGCCTATAATTTTCATCATCATATTCCTCAACTATGAAAGAGAAAATATAAAACAAAAATAATCTCAGAATGTATTTGCACATAATGGGGAAATATAAGTATTTGGTAATAACAAAAGTCAATCTCAATATTGTGTTATATACAATCTTGACCATGACAGAGGTCAAACGTTTTTGTACAGTAAGTCTTCACAAGGTTTGTTTACTCTTGCTGATATTTTGGCCCATTCTTCCATACAGATCTCTTCTAGAGCAGTGATATTTCCATCAATTCTTTAAAAATCAGGAGATTTGTTCTTTTGGATTTTTCTAATTTTGTCAATAAGAAGTGTAAGTTACAGCATACATGTTAAAATACAGTTCAGGAGGAAGTCCCCACAGCCTCCATCTTGGACACAATGGTTTAGGGAAGTTTTAAATTTCATCAAACTGGAAAAAATTAAGATTACACTGAGTGGATCTGTCAATATATTTCAACAATTTGTTTCAATTAGTACAACACTTGGATTTCCCTTCTGTCCAAGATTAATTTCTTGATTTTTCTTGAATAGTTTTGTAAAATGTGTAATATTATTATTATTATTGCTTTAATTTCACAACGACACAGTTTTCAAACAAACAAAGAACTATAATGGCTACCTCTGAATTCACTGGATGTGACGGTAACAGCAAAGGTGGATAGATTATTATTATTTGGTTTAATTGAGTTGGGACAGTAACAGTCAACATACACAAACTATTGCACAGTAGTCTGGTGCCTGCAGCCAAAGCAAATTCACAACACTTGTCCCTACATTTTGAAATCCAAAATCTCCCACGTTGCAGAACCTGATTTGAACATGATTTGGTTCATCCAAATTAAGTGTCGTATTATTTACCTTAATGGGCGCCACGGTGGCTGAGTGTATAGCACTCTCGACTCTCAGCAAGAAGGTCCTGGGTTCGAATCTTGGTCAGACCAGGGCCTTTCTGAGTGGAGTTTGCATGTTCTTCCCGTGTCTGCGTAGGTTTCCTCCGGGTACTCCGGTTTCCCCTACCACTAAAAACATGTCCAATAGTTCTGGCATGCGTCTCCTGTTCGGCAACCCCGCTCCCATCTCTGTGTGGAGTGAGAGGACAAATGCCCAAAAATAACTATATAAATAAACATTACTTACTACTTACATTAATTTTGTCCAAAACAAACCAAAAGAAACCAATCTGCCAGTGCTTTGTTTACGTACATATACAGTAAGGTGGACCGCGTGACATCGATGCTGTTGTGTAGTGGACATGTTTATGTTTAGTCAAATTGTATCATTGTTATTATGGTAAGATTGACGCCTGGTTGTGTTTAGTTTTGGCCTCTGATTTACCTTTTTTTTATATTGCATAATTTATTTGATTGTTTGCCGACATTATGTACAAAAAGCGATATGTAATCTTTTCTCTTGGGCTTCGCTTCGGCCTTAGCTTTCTATAAACCCTTAAACTCTCTACACACATGTATTTTTGATGGAGGCAGCTGCTTTTACACCAGATGACGTAAGCACAGAGAGGTAAGGCCCCTGCACACTCATGAAACATTCACACCGCACTGTAACTGGGAGCATTGCATTATGGTCTGCACTAGAAATAGTTGGAGGTTCAGGTTTTTGTTTTTATTTAGACCTGTAGGTCATTCACTATTTTTTGTATTATTTTTTTTCTAAACAATAGGCAAGGCAATACTATAAGATTCCATTTAACTTTTTGTTTTTGTATTATTATTATTAAAGCATGGGGCACCTGACTTTTTTGGTTTCATACATATATTTAGTTTCTCCCAAAATAATTCATCTAGTATTTTGTGAATAAATGAGACCTCAACATGCTGTGATTTTAACTTTTAGAAATGCTCAGAGCTGATTGGCTGAGTGAGGGCTGGTACTTTCTCCTTGTGCACTGCAAAAGCTGATCTAAAGATGTGAAACTAGTGATAGAACCAAACTGCTTTGAGAGTGAGGACCTATTACTTGAATCTGAGTACAAAAAATGTCATGCATAAAGCTAGGGAAGTTATTTGTATAGCACAGTTCATAAACAATGTAACAAAACAAAACACAATACTTTATAATGATTGCAGCACAGTGCGGTACAGTAAAAAAAAGTGAAGAGATAATCCCTCAGTTGTATGCACATAATTTAACCTGTGTTTGAACATTGACGATAACATGTATAAGAAGAATCATGTCTCACATTTTCAGGAACTGTTTCATATCTTTCTTAAAGACATAAAACAGTTCGGACATTAACATTAGGCACTGGATTTTTTTCTTTTAAATTCATTCAAATATTATAATTGTTAAATATTCCATGCATTGTAGGGGTTTGAAATAAATATTACATTCAATTGCAAGCACATTAAACATTATGGGACGGCACACTTACTGTTTGTTCATGAATGATTTTTCTAACTATAGCACTGTATGATTGCAGATTTCAAGTTTTGTAGACGAATTCAAAATGTTACAATGTTGTAATTGATTCTGAGAGATAATTGTGTGTTTAATTATTATTATTTAATTATTTGTGTTTTATCACATTAAGAACATTGGAGGCCACACTTGTGGAGCAATGCTGACATCTAGTGGTGATGTGAACAAGTAACTGCTGCCGTCAAATAATGACAGGAGGTGCAAGAGATGAACTGTATTCTCAATAAATTGAAAGAAAGTCACTTTAGTGGGTTGGTTCAAATTGTGAAACGTTATTTTTTGATGTTTCATTCAGAAGCAGGATAGGCCATTGCAACAAAGGCGCAGATATGAAGGTCCAGGATAATCGTATAGGTCCTCCTTATTAACGGTACAAATATGAAAAGTGTCTGTGCTTTAAGATATTATGTAATGAAGATACATCACGCAACCAGAAATAAAATACACATATGACAAATAATAAATAGGCTACGATGTAAATAGAATCAAGATATGTTTACAATTTGCAATCGGTTCAATTGGGCTAATACACACAATTGGGCAGCTTGTATCAGTCTATTGGGTCACTACCTATTAATAATTGTATTATATTATTATACATGGTCACTACGCACATTGTTGTAGAGTCTACCAGCCTGGACTTATTTAGGAACAGAGAGAGAGCTGAATTAAAGTAGTTTATCAGTAGTTTATTCCAAATCATGATATGCTCAAAGAAAGCGTGTTCCTGTTCCTCTGTAATCTGAACATTTGAAGATTTGGACATTATTTGACCTGAGTGTCAGGGGATATGTTTATTTACGGCGCTGTGATTCGCTTGATAAAAACAGACAATTTTAGACCTTCGTTTTCCTAACCTTCCAAATGTATCTAAATGCTAAACTATATGATAAAAAGCCAACCATGCGACCAACAACGCAGAGGGTGATAGCCCATCCCGTGCCATCCTGCATGTAAATAAACAAATCCCCTGCGTGGCCCAGTGCACTTCCGGTGCACGCAGTGCGGAGGAGAGGCGTAGGGCGCAGCATCCCGGGTACAAAGAAGCGCCACAATGGCAGAAATATCTCTGTATCTGACTAACGTGAATGTGTCCGTGACGCGGAGCATGGACGGAGAGGAGGTGAGTGACACGGGGGTTTGTGGACATCTGTGTCCAGGGTCAGTGCGGTCTTTATGACGCTGTTTGTGATAAAGATGTCGCTCTGAGCCGCACTCTCCTGTCGCCTTTGTGACTGGAGCGTCCGCTCTGAGCTGACAGGCTCCGTGTGCCTCTGACCACTTCATGCTTATATATGCGAATAATGTTAAGGCTGTAACAGCATCATATGATGACTAACCAGCATGTTTGTTTCACTTTGTTCTGTTGCCTCCTAAGCCTTGACCTTTATTATTGTGACTGCGGATAGACGATCTATAAACCTCTATTGTATGACGGAAGCCAGCTACAGAGGACTGTCATTCGATATGAGTCATTTCATAGTATGAGTTAATGATATGTTTCACTGATGTTTGGGTTGGTTGTGAAGAGTTCCAGTCCCAGTCCAGTGAGGGACTTTGAGAGTGTAGAGCTGGGAGAGCTGGAGAGGCCAGAGGAGCCCGAGCCCAGGCAGAAGGAGAAGCTTCCCCGCAGGATCATCCACTTCTCCAGTGGAGAGACGATGGAAGAGTACAGCACTGATGAAGAGGATGAAGAGGAGGCTGAGAGGAAGGACCTGCTGCCACCACCGCCAGCAAAAGTGGTACATATGGGGATGTAGTATGGGAGACACATGTACAAGTACATGCTGTAATCATCAAAGTCAAACTTTGTCTATGACATAACTGACCATATGTTCCACAGTATGGCATTGATCCTTTTCAATCAATCAATCAATGTTTTATTTCAAACCTGGACAAACATGTTTTAAGACACTTCCTCATGTAAAGCATATGCATGGTTTGAAAACCCTTTTCCTCCTTTTTATTCTAGAGGTCACATTGTGTTTTGTCTTTTTTTGTAAACTTGTTGATGATGTCATCGCCCCACTTTCTGATATCAATGGCCTCCTTAAAGCTTGGGTACAAAAACTTTTAAACCACAAAAATTAGCTATATGTAATCCATCTAACTAGTTCCTCACTCTCATCGTTTTCACTCAGCTTTTTCAGACAGAGAAGTGAAAAAGAGAGGACCAACTCTCAGCAGGTCTCAGCTCAAAGAAACAAACATAATATTAATATAGTTTTCTAATAATATGAAAACATGATGTGGTCTGATTTATTCACAAATTCACATTTAATTTCATCAATTGTAATGTAATTTTCCTCGGCTGTATTTATCTCTAACCTAAGCTGCTGAAAATGTAAAACACAGGAATATTGACAATAATACACTGCAAAAAAAATGATAAAATACGTTGTAATAATTGTAGGAATTTTGTATCTTAATTTGAGTACATTTGGACTGCCTTAAAACAAGAATTGTCAATGGGCTGAGCCTTTGTATCTTTCTAGAACAATTTTAAGACAATTTTGCTTGTCCCATCAGATCTTGTTTTAAGTCAGAGAAAATGTGCTCAAATAAAGATACATTTCACCGAATATAAGATTTTTTTGTATCACTTTTTGCATGATTCCATATTGTGGATCATGTTAAGTTAAAACATCTTAATTAAGATTTGTCGACCGCAGGGAAATGACAGTGTGCACATGCAATGATTGTGATAAAAGCCAGGTGTATTGATTTAAAAGCCACAATATAATTCATTAAGCTCACTGACTTATCGCGGAAGCTTTTAGTGAAGTGTTGGATGGACCGTTGATTAATCGGATTAAAAAGCTCTTTCAGCTCAGTGTTCTTTGCTTTCATTCTTTTCAGTCCAAGATGACGTGGGGACCTTATTTCTTATTTCATATGTGGAGAGCGGCAACGTCCACCATTTCAGGTTTGACTTTTCAAGCTTTGCAGATGTATATCCAATCAATAACTTAAAACATATATCATTTATAAAGAAAATGTAACCGGATAAAAAGGCCTGTTAAACAATAGTGTGTATTATTCCCATTTATGTTGTTTTAAACTCCTGACTCTTTGCGTATTGATAAGTATTTCAGCTAAATAATTAGATTTAAATGTTCATTGAGCCATATTTAATACAGTCCATTTTCTTGCAGCTTGTGACTACCTGGGCGAGAGGATGGCAAACCTCTTTGGCATCACATCTTCTAAATATCAATATGCCATTGACGAATATTACAGAATAAAGAAAGAGGTTTGTTACTTACATGTTTTTCTCTTGGGTGGGTTAGTTTGAGTTACTCTTGTTAGCTTCAGCGCGTCCATTTCTTGTGTATGTCTTGGTTCTTATTTGTTTCTAATGTATGTGGTGCACAGTTTACCACCACCGTGTATGGATTGAATGAGTAATGTCATGTGTGGCGTCTTTGAGTGTCCGTTTTGGTCCTTAATAATAAAATCCAACACATTATTATTGCATCTATAATCAGTTAATGATGCATACATTTTTGGATTTTTGACTTTGAGCGCATCAATTGTCCTCTTAGATCATATCCTGCTTCTTTGAGTTGGAACTTATGGATTCTTAGCAACATAAAAAGCAAAATGTTTAAGTACCATGTTGTTGTTACATTTCAAGCTCAATTATCCAGCTTTGTTAATGAAGTTAATTGAATTTTTGTTGAACATTTTTGTTTTATGCTTTACTAAACAAAGCACTTGGTTTTGTAAATCAGTTAGAATTCAATTGTGTATGACGTATTCTGTTGTGACACCAAAATAGGGTGAAAGCACCAACCGTTTCTGTTGCAGCTCCTAATTGCATTGTGGACTTGTGTTTTCGATTGTGGTTGATTTGATTTAGCTTTTCCTTTTGCGGTGAACCCTGGGGGCCACCATACAACTGAGGCATAGATGCAGCATAGACGTTTTCAGAGCTAAATGGTGACAAAAAACCAAAGATTTTATGTATTCCTAATGTTGCTGTGTATGTTGTCAGAGAGAAGAGGAGCAGGAGGAGAACCGGTTGTCTGAAGTTGCTGAGAGAACCTTCGATCAGGCCGAAGAGGAGGAGGAGGAGGAGGAAGAGGAAGAACCCAGCCCAGAACCACGACAGAGGGACACTTCTGCTGCAGACGACACAGGATTTCAGATTGAGAATGAAAACCAAACTGCCTCACACACCATCAGAGTCCCAGCCATCGTCACGGCAACCTAACTCCAGCAGTGATGCGGTTATGTCGAGGAAGAGAGCACTGTTTTGTGTCACTCAGCACTGGGCACGCTCCACTCACAGTGTAAGACGGGCTGGTACAACACGGGCGCGCCTCAAAAAAGCTCATAGACGCAGTTTCGGCTGATCTACTGTCCGCCATGAAACCAGACAACAAATTTCTCATTATTTTATTCTGATAATTACATGGACAGAACTTATTAAAATAACTATAAAAGGGGATTCCTAAACACACCCAATAGAGCAGAGGTGTCAAAATAATTCTGGTCTCCGGGGCCGAATGAAAAAAAATAGGAACTGGTTGGAGGCCAAAAGAATAGAATGGGTTTCCTTTTCTTGTAATTGTTTTTTTTTTTTTTTACATGATGAAGGGATTTCCATATTATTTTAATCTGGATAAGTTTCACTATTGTTTTCTGATAGATTTTGGTTGAACTAAAACTGGACTAAGTATAAAGTTAAACACATTTTGTATTTAACTATTTAACTTCTAATAATGTGTTGGGTTAACATTTTAGAATACATCAAATTTGGTTGTTTTCCTGAGAAAATAGATGATTCAAATCAACGCTGCAAGTTTATTATAATTGAAAATCATGTTAGGGGCCAGTAAAAATTGTCTTGAGCCTGAGTTTGACATGCCTGCACTAGAGAATTAGCACAGTCCTAGAAAACAAAATGCCACAAGCAGTGATTCATTAAATCAAATAGTTAAAAGATATAGATATAGATAGATGGAGAGATAGAAACTTTATTGATCCGAGTAGGAGATATTCAGGTGTCCAGTAGCAGCAAAAACACCCAAAATTGAAATATTTGAGCTGTATTGTAGTTTGTGTGTCGTTGTACCTCCCCGCTGCGTCATTACTGGTCAGTGGAAATAAGGATTGTTTTTGAGGGAATTTCTAACCACTGTGGCTTTTCCAACATCATAAAAAAAGCAACTGATAAAATTAGCATATAGGTGTCATTCACTGTCATGAATAGTTCTGCTTTTTTCCCATTAATCGTACTTTAGGGTGCGTTCTTACCTCATAATGTCAGGATATTCTCATTTTTGTCCTGTCTAGTCAGCTGTTGACTTACAGTTGGTTTGACAAAATATCAGAAGTCCATATCAGACAATAAGAAGGAAAATCATTCTTTCACCCTTTTCCCTGTCCAATATAAAAATACAATTCCATTTTATTAGAAGAAAAACAAATGGTATGATAAGTACAAAATGTTTGGATTGAGTTTGTAGAGGTCAAAACACATCTTCCTCACTCAGTTTTTTCTTATCCACATTATTGCTGTTAGTGGATTTTAATTCAGATCTTGATAATCGCGATACAACAAAATCATGTGGTTGTTTTTGGCGCGACTTGAAGTTCAGATAAAAAGACACATCTCCCACATTTCTTTCATCTTACGTTACAAACTTATTATCAAAAACGGACCTAGAGTTGTTTTTAGTTTCATCCATGTCAACACATCCAAATGCTCTTTACACTACGACACATACTTGGACTATGACATCATGGACAGAGCGGCTGTGCTTTTTTTTTTTTTTTAAACAAAACGATTGCCTCCAAAATAGTTTCATGAAAATCTCCACTCTTTACCACCGCATGCCTTCAGTTAAACTACACCAGGTGTCTCCAGCCTTTTCATCCCGAGAGCTACTTTCCCGGAACGATAAAGGTAGAGAGCTACTCCTTTAATCGTCCCCTGGGAAGAATTTGGTGATAAATTGGGTTCCTTCATAATTTATCATCACATATTTGTTACCAATGACAAAAGTGCATTTACAATAACGAATAATACAGTCTGAAATATTAAGTGTATCATTTGATTTGTTCGTTTCTAAATCCTCCCGAGCTACTGGTTGGAGACCCCTGCACTACACCATGTTGGATGTTTACTAAAAAAAAAAACATAATCAGAATGTAATTTCTCACTTCTACCTCTAGATGGGGGTGTGTCACTAGCGACAGTATCGACCTATGCTTTATCGTGCACATTTATGCTGTTTCATCAGTTGCCAAAAACTCACCTATAAAAACTCTTATGGGGGAGTTAAGGTTGCTCTTTTGGTGCACCAGACACTGTGCCTACAAATCTACAACACAGCCAAGTGGATTTTCTTCTTTCTTTTACTTCAATTAGTCTTTGTCTTAACACAAAATGCAATTGTTCAGCGTCTCTCTGAACAAGTTTACACCCGACTGCACTGTCTCTACTTTATGTGTCAAAACTGACCGTTAAGCGTGTGAGTGGATTAACCCGAGTGTCAAAAGGACTTGTCGTTGTAATTCAGATGTCCACAAGCGATTGAATCAAGTTAGGTTTTGATAGCCTTATTTGGAAGCACTAAATGTTGTGTAAGTGTGTGTGTGTGTGTGTGTGTGTGTGTGTGTGTGTGTGTGTGTGAGAGAGAGAGAGAGATGAAGTGGGACGATTTGACACTGTTTTCATATTGTTTGGAATGAACTGACAGAGCACTTATGTTTGAATGGATTTACTTGTATTTTATAATGCTTTATTTATACAATGTTTTGTTTAATAAAATATTTCTCTTGATTATTTTGGATTGTGTTGCTGCAGTTCTTACATGGAAAGGCCCTTATTTCAAACATGTATTGTATATCTCTAAATAATTTTGGTCTCATCACACTTTAGATCAGTTTTTTCAGACAGAACTATAAACAAGAGAGGACCCTGACTCAGCCAATCAGCTCTCATGCCAGAGAGGGACGACATTTTGTAATCGAAGTAACAAAATGCAGACACGGTGTCACTTTTTTGGATCGTGTTCCACCATTGCAGCTTGACTGACCTTCATCAGGACCAAAACAACAGCGAGGCGGTGTGCAGGAACTTTGTTGTGTTTTCTTTAAAGTTATCTTGCAAACCAAAAATGATATACAAGTTTTGAATATTATAGCATATTAAAATATCAGCTACAATTTTTAATAAAACGTACATATTAGACTATACTTTTACCAAAACACACTTGATGATTTTACTACAAGAATTTAATAAAGATTTTTGTTATCTTATTTTTTTTAATGTAAATTATTACATTAGTGGGTGTGTCCGACCAAAACTGGACCAAGAAGTATATTTAGACAAACGGAATCACCAGAATATACTTTTAAGTGAATCATATCAATGACAACACATTTTTGTAACTTTATGATGAACTATGATATGTTTGTTTTGCTCTCTGCTGTTGAATAACTGTCATAAGGAGCGCGGATATGTTGTCCGCAGCCGGCCTTGATGTTTATTCATCGAACTGAATTTCTCCATCTGTGAGATAATAAAAGATTGATTGATTGATTGATGTTATCAGTGACTGTGGCTTTATTATTGTCAAACTATAATTCATATTTAAAACAAGAGTGTCAAACATTATGCACATATCCTCAGAGATTGATATAGCAACAATTTTCACCAAGTTACATTGAAAGTGTGCAATAATGTAGTCATATTTAGCCATAAAACCAATGCCAATAGGCCAGCATGGGGAGTCTGCAAAAAGTCAATATCATGTATAAGCTATAAAATATAAATACAATATATGGAGCCAACTGGTGTCTTCATCACGTCTTATCCCATCCACTGTTGATTTGTTTTTATTTTTTTGAAACAGTGCAAACAAACACACCAGGCCTGGGTCTCTCTCGTTCTGAATGGGGACAGAGGAGTTAGCAGAGTATGATTCCTATCTGTGACAATGATACAGTGTGGTCCGCTCTCATACAGGCGAGATGAGGTCACACACGCACTGGCCTTTCAGCACAAAGACCTCATTCTGGGGTCAGAGGGGGGCTGCTGGTTCAACCCACACACCACATAGTATCATCCCCATGTACAGGCCCACGGAGGAGAATACTGGCACTGCTTTGTGAGTGTCTGCTGGGAAAGGAATGGAGGGTGACTCGACTTTGACTTTACAGTAATAAAAGATTCATCATGCGTCCAGGGACGTGCAGTCAGGGGAGGCAGGGGAGGCAGAGCCTCACCTGCCATTATTGGAAACTAATAATTATTTTAGTTTAAATATATAATTTATATCCACTGTCCTATGCTTTTAATGTATATTCGGCACGGTTCCCATCAGTTTTGATCATTTCTGAAGTCAAAATCGCCGAAATCCCGTTATTCCTATTCAAAGAGACGAGGTGAGGCAGCGCTCCTGCGTGCCTTACCCCAGACCGCTCCCTCACAGTGTGTGTGTGTGTGTCTGAGTGCACTCAGCTCGTGCAGTTGATATATCACCGTTTGTTTCAAATATCCTGCTTTAAAAACATTTTTTAAACTCCTCTTAGTGTTTAGTAGTGTATTGCACGTATGTGTGTACAATTTATATTTAGTTTAAGTCTTTTGATCGTAGATGAACACACAAGGAAAAAGCTTGGCGTGAGGCAGGCGGTATCTGTGCCTCACCGCTAGGGGTGATAGTGAGCATAAAGTTCATACCAGAGTTGCTAACAAACAATCAGCCCAAAATGCTATTTCTTTTGCTGGAAAATGGATGATTTGAATGAAGATTTTTTTTCTCAATTGGACTTTCAAACAAAGAAAGAATTAATATAGACTGGGAGACCACCACTGGACTTACGAGGTTAGTCCGGCTGCGGGGGAGGAGTTTGTTAATCTGTGTTTTATGTTGAACATTGACAGATACCGGCAAAGTAGTGCTTTTCCGAAAAACACTGATTCAAACACTGCTCAAGAGTTCTGCAACTTGTTTAAATTATTGTTTATGTTCCTCGCGTCTCTCTCTCCTCGCGTCTCTCTCTCCTCGCGTCTCTGTCTCTCTCTGCTCCTCGCGTCTCCGTCTCTCTGCTCCTCTCTGTCTCTCTCTGCTCCTCTCTCCTCGCGTCTCTCTCTCCTCGCGTCTCTCGCACCTGCGCTTCTTAAAGATGTTGTTTGATGCGGAGCAGAGTCAGCAGCTAGATTTGTTGTGAGATTATTAAAAGAAGCTGGTTCTCTTA